TATAAACACTATTCAATGAAGCATGTTATCGGTCATTATTTTCCTAATTTATAAATATAGTATATAATACATATACTATGAACACACACCGCAGTATATGAACAATTTTGAATACCTCTGCTATAGCCTATAAGTAATGATAAGTATAATTTTTTCATCAGTATTGCGGTAGGTTGTACCAATTTTTGCAAAATCAGATCACACATATTGTTTGAACGCGGAACGGGTGCCGCCAAAAACAGAGATGATCCAAGTTGCGTTCTATGTCGAAGCTCCGAGCGACGTTTCCCCCCTCCGCGGACCCGTGCCGCCGACGCCGGCCGGCGTGCTGGCCCATCGGCCGTCGTGAACACTTTTTCGTAGAGCACTAGAGCTGTCTTTTTCCAACGGCTGAACGTAACGCAACGTCCGCGTTACCGCTATTCGTGTCGTGTGTGTGTCCCAAAAAACCTCGTGTGAGCGCGAGATGTGTGAATCGGTRCTGTRATCAGCGGCCACATTTAGTATCTACAAAAGCTTATATTTCGTTTTCTTTTTATTCGTTGTCGATATACGCGCCCAGTACGTTGCGTTAAGTAAAAGGTCGCGTGTAGACATGACTGTTTGTCCGTCGGTTCCGTCGTCCGACGCCGAGCGATACATCGCGTGATCGCGAGTGGTGGCGTGTTCGCCACACTTCGCGCCCGGGACCAAATCACGTGCTATTTGCGCCAGAATACGAACTACGCCGTGTCACCGTTGAACGACGAGCCGAAAATTATTGTCCGCCGTCGCCGTTCCGGCGAAGGACCCCCATTGGTCATCTACCCGGAGCATCGCCGAGCCTACAGTCGCCAAATCAGGTCAATCCTTTACTTAGTCCCCCACGTTGGTTGGCAGTGGGTTGTATAAATTAAAATATTGTTTCCCAGCTTTATATTTGTATTTATATTATACATACCTATAGTTTTTAAGTTTATAACTTTGGGYGCCCGCTATTATTATATCTATCATATGGTTATTGCAAATATACGTGTTTCCGACCCTAAATTGTGATGTGATCTGTGAGTATATATTGAGTAACCTGTCCCCGCTCCAGCCTTCAACACTTAACGCCAGTCGTTGCCGACAACCGCACAAATCGTAGGATCGGCATCGGCGTCAGCACATATATTACTCTAATACATAATAATAATAATATTAATATTAATATTATTATTATATTTATCATCAATTCATAAATATCAATAGCTGTTATATATTAATTACTATTATACAATTTATAACTAAATTTTCAATACGTTTTAAAAATGTTTTGTTTTTCACAAGAGCGTTTTGGGTCTTGACATGTTTCATATAATGTCTTGCTACCAGAGAATATCTCCAAGCTACTTGGTATGCTTACAACAACAACGCTGTTAGTTTTGTTACCGACACCACATATCTGGATTGGAACACGAGTTTTCTCTCACTATCAATTTGCGAACAAGAATCGCCGGACAAGTTATATGACTTGGCTTCCAAGTGCGAATGTCATACGATTACAATATTGAATATTATACATAATACTTACATTTTCTAACAAAGAGGATCGGTGGTAGAGATTTTCAAGGAGTTAGATTTAGGCAATTTTAAATTGCATACCTACATGTAGATCTTGTAAATGTATGCGTAGTAAGTGATTAGTGTATGTGACTGGCGGCTGTGTACAAGTCACCTCCTGGGCGTAGTACGTGTGAACCATAAACAAATTATATWAATTTCTATGTATTTTTTGTCTATCCTACCGATCGACCTAATAATACGAAAAATATCAGACAATTAATCTGAATTTATTATGATGGCTACTTGAGATCGGTCAGTTCACATTTTAAAATGTCTGATTTAAATTGTGATGAAATAATCAACAATTCCAAAATCTCATAATATTCAAATTGGGAAAATYGTACTGACCGATCTCAAGTAGACATAATGATGAATTCAAATCAGTTTTAAAAAGTATAATTGCATTAGGTACTAGCTTGATCAGTATGAAGGAAAAAATATTAATATGTGTTGGTTGAAATAACTGCATGTCCATCACCGAACCTCTTTATAAACATTATTTTTTACAAAAATTATTCATAATCATAATTTCAGGATGTACGGCACTGATCGAGATTTAAACATTGATTTTTATCTACGGGACATAGCTTTCTACGATGGCGCATGTTACTCATGCGTCACGCACTGTCAAAAAGGAACGTTAAACTGCACTATAGACTACGACCAAATCATACGTGAAGTATATTTAAAACATAAACTTATATAAATTATGTTGCCGTCGAAGCCAGATTACTTAAATAGTCTTATATTCATCAATATAATGATCGGCAGTTAACGTCACATATCATGCAATTGATAACAATATCGTGGCTTATGTACCTATAGATACATAATATTTACGATGACACGTGAATATCGTAGAGAATATGACAATGTATAATTAGAACTTTTGAATTAATTCAACTACGGCGCTTATTTGTTATACCTATCTAATAATTTATAGATAGTATAAATTGTATAGCTTTGACAATAACTTCATGACCTTTTTTATTTTATCATAGGTATTCCTGTAATCATTTATCTATTTTATGAAAACTCCGTTCACAATATATTTTTAGAAGTTATTAGTTGATTAAATTAAAAAATAAAGATAAAATATTGTACATATGATTAATTAAACAATCGTATATCAAATAGCTTACATTAAGTTTTCAAATCATTAAGAGAACAGTGAAAATCAAAGTATGTTTAATACAAAAAAAAAAAATGGCAAATGTAGGTAACCACTCTACTGCATATTTATTAGGAGTGCTTCTCGTTATTGAGTATAAGCATTAGGCAGTTACCGTAATGGACGTGTTGAATTTCAATTCGTTGACAAATCATTATATACGATTAAAAATAAYTTTATACAACGACAGTCTATGTGGTTGATACTTAACCAATATGTTACCAAGTAATTATTTTACTAATAATATTAAAATGTTATTAAATGTCTGTATTCTTAATTTGCGTGCCATTTTTAAAGGTACTTCAGAACTTTACGAAGTCTTATATCGAAAATGATTTATCAGAGCATTTTTCTAGTATAATATAAAAATAATTTTAAAATTTTAAAATCAATACGTTCATCTTTCTGAGTTGAAAGCTTACATAAATGATGATAAAATSATATATAATTTTTCTTATAGGGGCAGTATATAGATAAGTTATAAAAAAACATTGAGTTATAATAAGCTTTATGTCATTTTATGTACACCATCTACTAAAACTATTTAAATACTTACTTATGAAGAC